TCTACCGGAAGGGCGTCTTGAAGAATGGCGTGCATCCGCGGCTGGTCCGTGACGCCATTCAACGCAAGAACGGCATCAAGCTTCATGAACCATACCTTGGGGTAGGTCGATTGGAACGGCGGCACTGGCGGGCAGAGTTGCGGGAACATGGCAGCGGGCCGCTCGGCGAAGGGCGTGTTCTCCGGGTCACCAATGTAGCGGCGAGAGAAGAGAGACGTGAGACGGCGTCGAAGGCGGCCGACGGGGCCGTGCTGATCTCGCCACTTTATTCCACGCCTGAAGAGGAGCCGCGGTGGCTGTCCACGTCCGACGCGCCAGGTGCGTGAGCTCGTTTTAATCCTCGCGCAGCTCGAGCTAGCATCAGCTGCGCGAGAGGCGCGGCGCGGTGATTGAGAAATGATGATGGTGATGATGACACTACAACAACAAAGCTCTCTACGTTGCTCGCGTAGACTGGCCTTCAGGTCATGTGAGGCAGCTGCGTCGAGCATGGCGTCGGTGGAGCTCGATGCTGGCAGGATGGCAGGAACCAGCGTAGAGTACGACGCTCTTAAGACATTGATCATGGAGCAGAATCAGGCGCTAGTCCACCGCAGGTGCGTGGCGCAGTCTGAGGTCCGCTTGGAGAGACAGAACCGTAACTGCCAATGGTGTTTCTAAGGTGAGCGTAACCTGTGTGTTGTCACGTGGAATGGTACCACGGTGTCCATGAAGTGATATAGAGCCTCCGAGGAGGCCTGGACGCCGTCCACAGAGGATGCTTGAAGCACCGACACAGGTGACAAAGAGGCATTCACGCCCTTTCTAGGAAAGGTAAGCTCATGCGCATTGTTGGCGCGGAGTAATGCGTCGCCGGACAAGTTCCACGAGACCATAGTGGAGGCACGGACGCCGTCCGCTGCTGGTGCAATTCATACTTGCCGCAATGATCGCCTGGCTGAGTACATCACCGAGGAAACGGCATGGTGTTCCTCAGGAAATCCTGGCAGAGCTCGGGACGCGTGAACGGCGTCCCTTGTGGTGAACGAATACGGCAGCAGTGGTTGGGAACCGCCGTGGAAGACTGACGCCGTCCCCAAACAGTGGTGGCAGCGGCGGCAGGAGAGCAGGCGCCGAGGAAGCCTTCACACCGTCCTCAAGCTCGACTTACCGCAGCTGCATGTTGGCGGGTGCCATGGACGAGGAATTGAAGACGTAGTACTTCGTTTTTGTCGATTGCACCATTGTAAAAAAATATACGAGGCAGAGTCAGCATCCTTGCTGTGGGCCGGCTGTTCTAGTCTCCACATCTGCTTCCTCTACTTCTCTAACCTAGCATGCGTGCCAGAGCGCCGGTGCCGTTCTTCGCCATCACAAAATACACAATACACACATGCGAAATGAAAATGTTTGGGGGCGAATACTGCTCTTATCACCAACTCTTCCCTTTCTAGGCCTTTGAAGTCGTGCTGTAAGCATGTGGTAAACAGCATTGAGGAGATTGTATCCCCCTGTCTTACACCCTTTTTTATAGGTGTTATGTTGTTTTCTTTATTAAGCACTATGGTGGCAGTTGATCCTCTGTGGGATTATTCCAGGATATTTATGAATGTTTTGTCGACACCCTATATTCCGCAGTGTCTACATGACAGCAAAAATATCAGCCATCATAAAGACACTCAGCTAAATACATTTAACACGCAGAAAAAGAGCTAGGAATACCTCTCCGATAGTCTCACGAGCAACCGAGTCACCATCAAGTGCTTGCTGGATCACTTGCCAGAACAACGTCAAAAATAACAGCCTACGGAACTTCTCCGCTTGCTCCGAAGAAAGGCCTCAGTCGACGCTACTGTTACATTGTGAATTGCCACGGACGTAAATCACTACAGTCTTAACTATTTCCATCACACGAAGCAGAACGCAGAGAGCACTAGATACAGACCATGGCAGACGTGTTGGATAAAAGAATTACATTTGTCCACTGGGATTTTAGCATGAAATAGGGTGATAATGAAGGTTTTAGGCTATTATTTCAAGTATCCTTGACGAAGAATCGTGGTAACCTTCACTATCGAGCTCTATATAGAGCCTCTGACCGCGGTGCGCGCCTTTCTACAGTTACATGCCTGCATCATGAACTCCGCGACCACTCATAGTGTGAACCACTCATATTACCACGCGCCATCACGTACGCACGCTTGGAAGGCTCAAAGAACCGGCGTCAACTTGCAAACCTTCGTGATGAAAGTATATCGCTAAATGTTGGCCGTGATCATGTTCTTTTTTTGGTCTCCGCGATTGCCGGAGCTATTGCGGAGGCACCTCAAATATGTTTTTGAATGTACCCCAAGAAGGTGCACAAAAACCTATCCCCATTTTAAGAATATACAGTCAGAATGCAGCTGTCAACAGAGCATTCCAGGCTGCGTGAAAAAAAAAAAACATTCCGGCGTGCAGAGAGCGGGAGATTGAAGGAGAATGCAACTGCAACAGCGAGTAAATCGCCCTGGCTATTCCATTGTGCCTGATAACGCCTGCTTCGTAATAATGATTGTAAGATACATTGCTCGTGTTTGTACTCCATTGCTTTAATATTACGTGTGTGCCCAAACCCAATGCATTTATGTGTTACAAAAACCCCGTCGGAGTGCTTGCCACGTACTCGATGTCGTTCGATGCCCGCTTGCACTTGCAAGTTGCAGCAAGCCAAAATAACTGAAAAAAAATGCATTGCACATGCTTCCTGCTATTTTAAGACGAGGTGGAATCTACAGTGGAAGGTCCTTGATTTCCAGGAAACTACCTCTATACCCCAATGAAAGAGCGGGGGGGGGGGGGGGTCTTGAGAGGCCTGTGCACATTCGCTAGCGGACGGCTCTCGCTACAAAATGTAGCTCCGGCCATGCCGGCGATGAGAGCACTGGTGGCCGTGGCTTTCGCAGCGCCGCCAAGCCAGAGTCCGAAATCTCCTCGATGATTCCGCTAGTGCGTTGGTTGACCGTAGTTTCTTGGAACAGAGGGGTGCATCGGCTGACGAACGTTCATCATTGCACACATTATTCTGGCACTCACGAACGTTAAACTCCTTCTCATCTATCGTGCATGAAACTGGAATTCAATAAATGACGCATTCGGAGGATATAGACGTGATTCGCGATGCTTCATCATGCGCTTCCTTTAAAGACGATAGTCTTTTTAGGGTACCTCGACGCAAAAATTTTGCTCTGTTTGTATGTTTATCTGCTTGTCCGCCAATCAATACTCGGAACGGCCAAATTCTAACTCTATCCACAGCTCCCGCTAATATTGCTCAAGTTTCAGCATTCAAGCTTGTGCATGTGTCAATGAAAATGTAGTTATTGCACGTATTTGGGGCACAATCACAACCCGTGAATAATCTTCGGTGTGTCTCTTTATACTACAGAAGGCACACAAAAGTGATTCTAAGGACTGTAGCGTTTATCACGCTGATCTTGCCATGCAAAAATGCACTAAATGACAATTGTTTCCCACGCTTTGCTAAGACGACACTGTGGAGGCACCCACCCGTCGCTTTGGGTTCTACACCTACTCGCCTTCGAGACGGACGCGCACGCTGCGCGCTTGCTATATCAGAGGCCATCCTTTCGTTTATCAAGATAACTGACAGATAGAGCACATGCCTCATGTGTCTCGATGCGCGAGTTTGCCTCCACTGCAAGCATGGAGGCCCTTTAACGCTGCGCCTCCAGAATACCATTCACGTATTTTCTCGCGCAGAACATCGTAATAACGTTTTGTTCACTCTCTCCAGATGCAAGAGTATCAACTTTCGATGACATTTGCAGTGAAACGTGCAGATACGTGGTCAATTTTTTTCTTCGCGGACCATGTTACATGTCAAAGGTATGAAACTTTATGTAGTACCGAAAGAACCGCTTGAACGCCACAATGTTGCCTTCTTTTCTTAAGACGATGCGAGATTTTATGCTTGTAATAAGTAACGACCAAACCCCTGTTTCGCCGACAAGCTTCCATGTTCAACATTTTTTGTGCAGTTTTTTTTTCAGCAGATTGTTTCCGACGTGAGCAGTTTTCGCGCGTAACCTGCTGCTTGGAGCCGACGTATCCAAGCGTTAAAGCTTTCAACGACAGCCTGTGTACACAGTTTTGCCAAAGCGTTATAAAAGCTTGGCTGATTTCGTGCGTGATGATGTGTATGGCAACATTGATTTTCGTCGTCGCGGTTCGTAATTTTCAATATGTCAGCTTCAACGTCCCTAAACCACCATAAAATTATGACAGACGCCGTAGTGGAGGGCTCCGGAAATTTCGACCACCTGGGGTTCTCTAATGTGCACGCAAATGCGAGCACATGGGCCGACAGCATTTTCGCCTCCATTAAAAATGCAGCCGGCATTCGGTCTCGCGACCTGTGGTTCAGCAGCCTTAGCCAGAAGACCACTGTGGCGGGACATATCGCGGCTCGTACGTTCAGCATGTATGTCTATTGAAAAGGTCAGCCGCAGATCTAGGCACCGCATGGTGCTGTCCCGCGGTAAAATGTGTGTGATAGACAGTGGCGATACACAACCTTCAAACAGTGTGATCAGGCGCCTGCTAGCAAATTGGATTTTTTCAGCATTGCTCTATGAAATCAAAAGAAACATTGTTGCCAAAGACATTTTACGGTTTAAAGTACTCAAGAGAAGCATTTGTGAAACATGTCTTTCCAACGCTTTGGAAAATTTATGTCGACATCCTGTCACTTAAAGCTACAATTCTCAGACCACCTCTGCTAAGATCCATGTAGTTAGATTTAAGACAATGTGAAACAATCTCAGAAGGATGCAATTTTCGGCGTCCTTCCCATCGGAGTGCTTTGTAATCATATCAAGGTTTTGGCGAGTAATATTATTACTCATACGTTTAGTATATGAAGAGTGTTGTAATACTATCCTTGAGCATGCAGGCTGTAAAGACGACAAGCAATGTTCAGGTGCTACAGAAATCACAGAGTAACGATGTCGTCTTCGCAGGGAAAAACTGGAGCACCAGGTGAGCACCGAGATCGAGGAGGGGTCCCTGCCGACTGTGTGCGAGGCTGAGCTGGCCGCAGCAGAAGTGAGCGAGACTCCGCTGGTGGACTCGGTGCAGGAGGCTGCGAACAAGGGCTGGCTGTAGGGTCACTGTTCTGTGGCTGCCCGTTGTTTGATTTGCTGACTTGCTTGAATTGCATGTTCTCTTTGGGGAGCCTTGTATATGCACGTGCAATAAACTGTCAGTTGTGAGATAGCGCTGTGTCCCGCCCTTCGCATGGATTCGATTTCAACGCTGAAACAAGCACCTTCCTCAAGTCACACATGCAAGTTCAACAAAGCCTGAAGAAGCGCCACATCTTGACTGGCTCCCACCTGCATTATGCATCACAGTGGCGGCGAACCCCAATATATATAGTGACGGAAAAATTGGCAGATCCTACGTACAGTGGGAATCGATTATATGCAAAGAACGAATGAGAAATGTCGACATTCCACTTCAAAATGAGACAACGTTACGAGGTGGAGGTAAATTACGCCGTACATGACTTCTGTGTCATGATTATCATGTTTGGGTGTGTCGTTTACCTTCGTCATTTATTCACGTCACTTGATACCAAATTTAGTATACGTGGAGCTAGCGAAATGGCCGTGAACACGTTATGAGCACGGTATGTTGTCATGTTCATACATGACAGCCATGTGAGGATTATCATGTTTTCACCAGGCATATATTTCGTCATGCATTGCCGTCACGTAACACCAAATTTGGTATATGTGGAGCTAGCAAAATGGTCGCCAGCGCATCATGAAGGGCACAATATACTCCAATGTAGCACTGACGCGCGCGCACGCGGGGCACAGTGACGCTACGTTAGCAAAACGCGAGCACGCTATAGTCTGATGCCAGGTGCGACCAGCGTCCGTCGGCGCGGCCCGACGGCAACGGGCGCGAAACTTGGCATGCTGCATTTCGCGCCGATGGGTTACCCAGACAACAATGCGTTTCCTTCCTTTCGTGATGGAGGGACGCTGGACGCGCTAAAACGCGCATGCGTCAAAGCAACGCTACGCGGCGCACGCCTGCGAGTATAGGCAGGACCGGCGTTTGGCGTGGCAACGCCGGCGTCACGCGACGAAACGAACGCCGGCGAGCACGCGCACCGCGTCACGTCGAAATGTACTGGCGCCTTGACTCTGGCATGTAGTCATGTTCTCACTAAACACCATCTCATGATTATCATGTTTGCACCAGTCACATACCTTCGTCATTCATTGGCGTCACGTAATACCAAATTTCGCATATGTGATACTAGCTAAATGGCCACGAGCGCATCAGTGCCGCATGTTGTCATGTTGTTACATGACACGCATGTCGTGGTTATCATGGTTGTGTCATTTACCTATTTCGTCCATTCCCGTCCCGTAATACCAAATTTCGTATAAGTGAAGCTGGCGAAACGGCCGTGAGTGTGTCATGAGCGTGGTGGCATGTAGTCATGTTGTTACATGACACTGATCTCATGATTATCATGTTTGCACCAGTCACATACCTGCGTCATCCATTCGCGTACTGTAACACCAAATTTGGTATATGTGACGCTAGCGAAACAGCCATGAGCGCATCATAAGCGTGGAATGTAGTCATGTTGTTACATGGCACGCATGCCATGATTTTCATGTTAGGGTCTGTCGCTTGTGTTCAACATGCAATCATGCCATATTATACCAGTTTTGCAACATGCCATGTGAACGAAACCGCCGCAAGAGCTGCAGGACCATAAAATATAAATCGTGACATTCATGACATTCATGACATAATTTCCATGTTATGACCAGTCACATATGCTTTTCATAGAGTCATGGTATGCCATACCAAGTTTGGTATCAATACCATTATAGAAACGGCCAGGAGAGCTAAAAGTCGTAGGCGGCTTAGACAGACAGACAGACAGACAGACAGACAGACAGACAGACAGACAGACAGACAGACAGACAGATAGATAGATAGATAGATAGATAGATAGATAGATAGATAGATAGATAGATAGATTGATAGATAGATAGATAGATAGATAGATAGATAGATAGATAGATAGATAGATAGATAGATAGATAGATAGATAGATAGATAGATAGATAGATAGATAGATAGATAGATAGATAGATAGACAGACAGACAGACAGATAGATAGATAGATAGATAGATAGATAGATAGATAGATAGATAGATAGATAGATAGATAGATAGATAGATAGATAGATAGATAGATATAGATAGATAGATAGATAGATAGATAGATAGATAGATAGATAGATAGATAGATAGATAGATAGATAGATAGATAACCTTAAAGTCAGCGAAGTTCGTTAAGAAATGCTTCGCATTTAATATTGCCGCGAGGTGTATTGCGGATAGTGTTGCGCATGCCAATACCGCGACTCATCTGCGAAGATCATGGCCCGCACGTCGACCATTCGTTGATAACGAGATAGCGCCAGACGCTACGGCGACTGTATCTCGGATGGTGAACGCGCCTTGCGTTCCAGTGGGACATTTCTGTTACCCGACGGCCGTCGAACGCGCCTTGCGTTCCAGTGGGACATTTCTGTTACCCGACGGCCGTCGAACGCGCCTTGCGTTTCAGTGGGACATTTTCTGTTACCCGACGGCAGTCGAGCGCGCTGTTCGCCTCCCGCTAAGCCGGTGTGTCTGTTGTTCCTTTAGTGGGCGCAAGTCCGCCAAATAAACGGATCTCCTTCCATTTCTACTAACCTCCCGGTCTCCTGTCTTCGGGCTACCCTCACTCTTACGTGACATTTGGTGGAGGTGCGGGGTATGCACAAAAATGACCTTATAACAGCCACTGCCGAGAACGAGGACGCTGAAGACACAGATACTCGAAGCAGTCGCCGCCTCCGAAACCTGCCACCTGAGCTGGGACCGCTACCGGACCCCACGTGACCACGAAAGGACGCTTCCACAGCCACCATGAGCACCCCGCAATCACCTACCCCTGTTATGCTGCAGCAGCCGCGGGTGCCCCCAACTTTCCATGGTTATGCCGCTGAAGACCCAGAAGAATGGCTCGACCAATTCGAGTGCGTGGCTACCATAAACAGGTGGGATGAAGAAATGAAGCTGCGGTACGTTTACTTTTCCCTGGACGGCCCCGCCAAAACGTGGTATGAAAACCATGAGACCACACTGACCACCTGGGAATTTCTGAACAATGAGTTGCTCAGGACCTTCACCAGCATCATGCGAAAAGAAAGGGCCCAGCTGCTACTAGAATCGAGGACCCAACAGCCCAATGAGACCCTAAACGTGTACGTCGAAGAAATGAAACGTCTTTTTAGGCGAGCGGACCAAGACATGACCGAAGACAAAAAGGTCGGATACCTAATGCGAGGGGTGAAGGAGTCGCTTTTCGCCGGTCTCATAAGGAACCCTCCTAAAACAGTCGCCGAATTTACTCAAGAAGCGCACACCATAGAAAGGACCCTGGACGCCCGGACTCGGCAATACAACCGCCCGTTTCAGCTCAGCTCGCTCTACTCGGAACCGGTTCGAGGTGGGCTAACCACCAACGATCTGCGGGAAGCTATTCGAGAAGTGGTTAAGGAAGAACTACGCCGATTACTACCTCCTACCCCCCAGCCCCCCCAAGGAGCATCTCTCTTGGACATAGTGCGTGATGAAGTCCAGCAGGCGCTTGGCTCTTCATCAGCGACGACTCGAACAGAGGCCGAAGCAATGACTTACGCCGCTGCAGTGAACACTAGGCCACCCCGACGAAACGAGCCCAGTCCTCGACGGTACGCTGCAGCCCCAAGTAGCCGTCCGCCCTTACCCGCCCACCCTACATACGAGAGACGCCCGAGCCAAAGAAAATGCGACACCTGGAGAACTCCCGACGACCGTCCCCTATGCTTTCACTGCGGTTAGGCCGACCACATTCTTCGACACTGCCCCTACCGGCGGATGGGACTGCATGGCTTCTCATCTCAGGCACCACGGCCACGCCCTGGACAACGACCTCCGGCAATCGAAGACTACTTGCGCCATACAGAGTACTTGTCCAGCCGTTCTCCATCACCGCCATCCCCACGCTTCACGTCACCGAACCGCAGCAACAATGAACGAAGAAGGTCCCCTAGCCCCCGTAGGGGAAACTAAAACCAGCAACCTTTGGAGGTGAGGTTGCTTCAAGAGGAAAAGCTGAAGACCCTCCACCGACGACCATATATGACGACAGCACATCATCTACGACGACGACAACGCACAACAACCCAAGCCGCGAGACAAAGCAAAACGAAGCACCAAAACGAAGCCGTGACCCGAACCCAAAACCAACGCGCAACTCCAGCCCACGTGCCACCGATTTTGAAGTATCTATCGACGGCCACCCTGTAACTGCCTTCATTGACACAGGATCTGACTACTCGGTCATCAGCGGGCCATTGACAGCACAACTGAAGAAAGTTAAGACGGCTTGGGACGGCCCGCAGATCCGCACAGCGGGAGGCCACCTCCTCACCCCATCGGGGCGATGTACTGCAAGGGTGACATTCGATGGTCACACATACCTTGCCACTTTCTTGGTGCTCCCACAGTGCTCCCGTCACGTCATTCTCGGCATGGACTTCTTGACTCAACATCACGCGGTTATTGACCTGGCGTCCAGATCCATCAAACTTTCCTCAGATGAAGCCATAAATTCATACTCGGCACCACATAATCGCGCAGCCCTCCGTGTGCTCGAGAATGACGTGAGCGTCCCACCCCGATCAACGACCCTAATCCCCGTAACCACTGGTACTGCCGAAAATGCTCATGGCGTCGTCGAAGGTAACATACAGCTTTTGCTTGGCCGTGATATCGCAATCGCAAGAGGCATTGCGGACTTCCGGAATGGACAGGGCCCAGTGCTGCTAACAAATTTCAGCCAAGAACACCGTTACCTGGCCAAAGGCACGACCATTGCCTTTCTCGATGAAATCGTGGAAGTCAGTGACACCCTCGCCCTCTCGAATCCAGCGACCATCACCCCACAGACCCACAACTCGCAGCTGTCATTCGAAATCAACCCTTCCTTGCCTCAATGCAAGCAGCAACTGCTCCAGAACCTCCTTCGACGTTATGACGACTGTTTCGCCACTTCTTCACAGGTCCGACACACTTCTCTGGCAAAGCATCGAATCATAACACAAGAAGACATCCGCCCTCTCCATCAAAGCCCTTATCGTGTGTCA